TGAGGGGTCCACTGAACTCCAGTGTCCCCAGGGAAATGGACCAGGACAGTACAAGGGGTGAGGGAAGTCATTGAAGACCTCCTGTCCAGAAGCATATTCTCCTTTCCTCTCCACTCCCTTCCCAGGTTTTATCTCCCTTGTCTAAGAACCTCTTCCACCGGGCTATCTCTGAGAGTGGTGTGTCCCTCACCTTTGGTCTGGTCAAGAAGGAAATGAGCGCTGCAGCTCAGGTAGGTCTCACTCACTCTGGATCCCTCTTATACCCATTGTTCTGTGACCTGAAATCTGAGAATTTTCTTGCTATGGGATCCAGCTGACATCCTCAAAAAATCTTGAAAATGAGAATATCTGAGTGAGAAGGGCAAGGAGACATCTCATTCAAGCTCCCAGTTTCACTGATGAGCAAACTGGATCATAAAGCAGAAGAAACATGCCAAGGTCATCAAGCTGTCAGGGCAGAGCAGGAGCTCTGGGCACATTGACTGCACTGCCTCAGTTGTGCCAAGGTGGGTGCAGGGTTGAACAGTAGGCCTGGACTGTCATTGTGTCCCTTTCCAGTCTGATTTCTGGTGAACCCCCTTACTGAATGTGGGTCTGGAGTGGTTCCTCCCCGAAGACCTTGTAACCAGGGTTGGTTCCTAGAGAATTCATTCATTTACTCAATAAATAGTTTTGATATAGAGACACCTAGCAACCTTATGAAGCTTCCATTATAAGAACGGAGACAGTTAATGGTTCCATAATCACACTAATTATTAAATGTCAACTGTGACAAGAGCAATAAAGGAGAGGTACCTGATGTCATAACAGCATCTGCTGCAGACAGGACAGCCGATGAAGTTCTCTGCCATTAACAAAGACTTGGAGTCTAAATGAATTTGCAATGTGGGGAGGCCAGGGAGAGTGCCATCGAGAGCTGCTCTGCCTTTCACTCTCCCAGCCCAAGCTTTTATTGAAGATATGAACAAAGGAACAAGAAAATAGCATGCAACTGTGGTTTTGCTTATACAGATTAATAAGCTACTACTGAAAGCAAGTTTTTCTGGTTAGTGAGGAACATGAGCAGAAGCCAGTAGGTCCTCAGAGAATAGGAGTCAATTCTGGGAAGAAGTTCTATTTGCAGAACTTCTAATGTCCTGGAACTCCGTATGCAGAGTAAACAGGTATTCTTCAAAAACTCCAGCTCCTTTTAGGGCAGCAGGCTCCCAACAAGCATCCAAAAGAAGCACTTACCCCAGAGTATAAGGGGAGATTATCAGGAAAAATTTCCTGGAAAATGGATCAATGAGTTGCGATCAGAAGAATGGGCAGTTATTTACTCAGTGAGAAATGGGTATTCCAGGAAGAGGGAGCACCATGTGCAAAGGTCCTGGGATAGAAGGAGGTATCTTGTGTGGGAGCAAGCAAGACAGGCTGATGTGGCTGGAGGAGGAGCAGAGGGAACTTGAAGTAGACTAATGGCGGAATGTTGGCAGGGATCATGATGACGCGTAAGAAGGACCCTGGTGAGGAGTTTGTCTTTATCTGGAGTGTTAGGAAGCCCAGGAAGGTGAGCAACAGGGAGGTTCTGCTGAGAAGAGCGCCCCCTACAGTCAGTGATGAGTCAGGGCTGTGAGAGCTGGCTTCAGCACCAGACTAAAGGGGACTTGTAAGTAGGAGGGGAGCAAAAGAAGCCACCAGGAATTTTGGGGGGGTGTTGAGAATGTTTTAAAGAATCTTTTTAGTTGTAAACAATAGAAGCACTTGACCAGGCTTAAGTCAAGAAGGGGGAATTTATTTAAAGAGGTGACAGAGAAAAGAACATTTTGCTGTTAAACAGGAACTTGACATTGGCAAAAGGAAGGGAATCTAAGACTCATAGTCTCTCCCTCTCTCCTCTTCTACTTCTCCCTGTGACTTTTTCTTTATTCAACAAATACATTCAGGCACCCTGTGTCAGACATGATACTAAGCAATGGGGCGCCCATGCACCCTCCCCATACCCCATTGTTCTGGAACCTGCCTTGTCTCTGTTAGCAGTTTCCTCTCTCCCTCACCCTACCTGCGGATTGCTCAATGCCAAATTGTTAGCAAGTGGCTGAGCTGCAATTTGAAACCAGACAGCATATTTTAGGGTTAAGCCCCACTCCATGCTGCCTCTGTTTTGATGTTCAGCCTTGAGAGCATGTCCTTTTAACAGAGATAAGGTAACATAGATGGAGGTTGTGTAATTGGTGTGACTAGGACCCAGGACCCACACCTCTTGGTCTGTTGGATTTTCTGCCACCCCCTGCTGCCTTTAGACATCAACATTGGACAAGAATACCTCTTTACTGATGGAGGCAAGGGACATGCCTCTTGAATTCTGCTGTTCCCTTTGATCTCTGCAGAAAATCGCTTTCTTTGCTGGTTGTAAGACAACCACTTCAGCTGTCCTTGTTCACTGCCTGCGCCAGAAGACAGAGGAAGAGCTTTTGGACGTGTCGCTGAAGATGGTAGGTACCTATACACACCTCTCGCTGTACCTTCCCCAAGCCTGTGAACTGGGCCTCAGAAAGACTACCTGGGACGTTTCTCAGCTGTCCAGGCTAATGTCAGCTTCTGGTCTGGAGGAAGTATTTCTTCATTCCTTTTTTATTCGGAAATATCTTAAACATTCGCAAAGTCAAAAAATAGTATAATGGGGCCTCCCTGGTGGCGCAGGCAGTTGAGCACAGCACTGTGAAGGTGTCCATAGCCACTGCAGTGTGGGTTCGATCCCTGCCGGCCACGGAGATACCTACATGGCACAGCAGACCTCTCTTGTCTCGCCTGCTACTCCCCTCAGTAGTGTGTTTCAGTCTGCCTGTTCTGTTCCCCACTCTGTCTCTGGTGAATCCTCTCACCCTCCTGCACATCTGGCCTGTATCCCGGTTCTTGTATGCATGAATAAATAAATCTTTAAAAAAAAGTAAATTAAAAAAATAGTATAATGTACAATGGTATAATAATCTCCCAGCTCTATCAGACTTTCTATTTTGTCATTCTTGTTTCAGATATATTTCTAATAAATCAGGCATTGCATATTCCCACACGCCACTACCATTCTGAACTTTAAGATTGGCGATACGAAGAACAAAAATTTTTCAGAAAAATTGTCACAGTTTTCTTGGTTAATTTAGAAACTCAGTTTCAACCCCGTAGGGGTTTTCTGAGAGTGCCTCAACTGTGACTCTGGGATAACATGCATCCACACAGTCATTCATCCGTTCATTCACCATCTTATTATCCATCTATAATTTCACCAATCCATCCAGTTCATTGATATCCTTTCATCAACCTAATGTCAATCCATTTTTACCTTTTATTAATTTATTATCAATCACCCATGTTTATCCAGCCATCGTATATCTTCACCCCATTACTCATCTCTCTAAAATCAATAGTGAATTCATCACCTACCTGCTAGTTATCAGGCATTTATCCACTTAAACATCCAATTTGCCTGTATTCCTGTATTTACCAACTCCATTCATCTGTGCATCCATCCATCCACCCATCCATCCATCCATCCATCCATCCATCCACCTATCCACCCATGTTAAATTCACTCTTAGGAGTTTGTCTCCTTGGGAGGTCGATGACAACAATAGCTCTCTACACTTAGATCCTATCTGTCTAGAAGCACTCTTCCCTAGTAATTCTAGCAGAAGTGTTGAGGTTAACTCTACTGGACTGACATGGGCACATGCCCATCCCTGAACCAATCTCTGTGCCCAGGAAAGGAAGCACCCTGGGTCACATACAGAGGCCTGGATTCATAGAGTGAGAATGGGGAAATGGGAGGTATCCCAAAGGAAAATCGGGATGTTGTTGCTCTGGGGAACAAGGAGGAGACATGGATGGAGGACAGGGCAGGCACAAAAGACATCTCTCAGTGCTCCAACCCCTTCACTCCCCCAGCACCCCCCTCCACCTCCACCCTGAGCTTGTGTCCAGGGGAGCCAGCATCCTGCCCACTTCCTCCTGGCCCAGCCAGGTTGGCACCAGTGAGGAGAACCTGATACCTTGAACCTGATACTTTTGGCAGCACACAGCTCACAAACATCAGATTTTTTTCCCCCGGTTCCTTTCTCACCCACATTCTCTCTTTGTCTTCACAGAAATTTTTCTCTCTTGATTTACTTGGAGACCCCAGGGAGGTAAGGACCTTTGACTTCTTGATTATAGGTTGTAAATCTTGACAACTTTAAGCTGTAGTTAATTATGAATGAAAGAAATCTCCCTCTGGACTCATGTTTGTATTGCTGAGGCCCAGAGGAATGCGGTGACTTGCCTAGGTAACACCGCCAGGAGGACCAACTGTGGATCTGGAACTCAATCCCCTGATTCCTAATCCAGGGCTCCCACTCATTAATTCTAACTCCCTGGGCCCAGCCCCCAGGCTGCCTCCCCCATCATGTTTATATTTCCTGCCCCTGGGGGAGAAGGGGAGACTAGAATTTTCCACCATGAAGAGGTGGAGATAACTGGATAGGGGAGTCTACAGGAAGGGCCCAGATCTCCTGAAAGCTGCAGGAAGGATTAGTATCACAAACTCACTATTTGCAGGACCCTCAGGAAGGGGATCCCCTTCCATCTCTCCTCTCCTCCCATCCTGCAACCTGGCCGGGTTCTGATGACTTTACCTTCTTGAGAAGCAACTTCTCAATATCCTGCCCTGTCAGCCCTCCTGCTGGGGTAGTTACCCATCACCTTACCACTGCTTTCCCCTGGGCAAACTTCTACCTTTTGGGGTCAGAAAGACTTAGCTGCCTTTTTTAGGACCCTGAATTCAGTGGCCACTGCCCATGGCCATGCAGGTCTCACCCAGGTGGTTGGAGATGAGGACATCAGTGTCTGTATGGGAGAAGCACAAACAGCATGCTGGCTTTTTCCCAGAGCCACCCATTCCTGCCCACTGTGGTTGATGGAGTGCTGCTGCCGAAGACCCCTGAAGAGATGCTGGCTGAAAAGAACCTGAACACTGTTCCCTACATGGTTGGAATCAACAAGGATGAGTTTGGTTGGCTTCTGCCAATGGTGAGCAATTGCGGGCCTCTTAGAAGACTGCCGCCTGCCGCCCCGCCACCCCTCCCCCAGATCCCTGTCCCCTTTAGCACAAACTGACATTTCCATGGACACTTTCTCTGGGATACCCCAATGGTCACCTGGGTGGTATAGCCCAGGAGACTCTCCCCAAACCCTCTCTTGATGGTCTTCAAACCAAGATCCTGGCATGTAGGGGCTGGGGGAGACTCGTGGGTGCTGAAGGGGGAACCACAGCCTTGACAGGAGGTACTTGAGTGAGGAGTGAGCCTGGGGCCCTACTAGCAGCCTCACCCCCAGGCTTGGGATTTTCAGTTTCCCCATAAATCCCCCTTTCTGCTCTTAGTCATCTAATTGGACAGATTCAGAGAAATGTGTTTCCTCTTGAGTTAGAATTGTCTTCTAAAAGTTAGCAAGGGCTTTATACACTCATTGAAGTTGGAACATTAGGTTTATTCAGTGACCCCACTGCAATAGGGAGAAGAGTCTAGTGTGAACTGAGCTCTCATCCCTGATACAAAAGGCTGGAGATCATATAAAGGCCATAGTGTACTAAGAGGTGGGCTGTGCATGTGGGTTTGTCCATGTGACTAGGCCACCTGAGTTTTCTCTGGAGGAGAAATCGACTTGTCTTGATGGCAGGAGCAGTGGTGTAAGTGGAAGCCAGGTGCCCACCAAGGGTAGACCTTATACTCCCTCCCCACACCCCAGGACTGAGTGTTTTCTTTTCAGAGAGAAGGCTCTCTGGTCCTTGTGGAACCAGTTTTGGGTGTTTAATTTACATCTCAAAGGGCAGAGACCAGGTTTATAATGGCAAGCTTTCTAGAGCTGAGTTTGAGGACCCTCTGCCCATCCCAGGTTTGTTACTAGAATCCATGGCAGTTAAGTTCTCCTGGTGTCTGGAGCTTTCTCAGGTAGATGTTTTAAAGAGGGACTCAAGGCATCCTAGGTATGTGACCTTAAGTGGCCAGAGGCCACACTGGAGTGTGGTCACCTGCAGAGGCTTGGATGGAGACATTAAGTACAGAATTCTGTATTCCTAACCTTGAAAAATTTCTTGGGTCTTACCCAAGGAGTAAAGCTATAATATAAAATCATAATGGGGGCCCTCCCTGGTGGCGCAAGGGGTTAAGATGCAGCACTGTGAAGCTATCTGCAGCCACTGCAGCTTGAGTTCAATCCTGGCTGGCCAGGGAGGTGACCCACATTGCACAGCAGACCTCTCCTAACTCACCCCTGTTCCCCTCAGTAGTGTATTTCAGTCAGTCTGCCTGTTCTGTTCCCCATTGTGTCTCTGGTGAACCCTTTCACCTCCCACACCTCTAGCCTGCACCCAGTTCTTATATGCATAAATAAATAAATCTTTTAAAAAATCATAATGGAGGGACTTGGGCTTCGTTGGCCCTTTGGAATGGGGACGGATATTTGTGAGGTCTGTGTCATCTTCTCCAGTGTCCTGACTTCAGCACTAGCCTGATATAAACCTCCCCTGTCTCACTGACCACTGAATATGTAGACAGTTGGCAGATAGAGACAGACAGACAGACACAGACAATTGCATTGTATATATAGACAGTTGGCAGATAGATAGAGACACACAGACACGGACACAGACACAGACAATTGCAAAGGTCTGGGCCCACTTGTCTAAACATTTACTTTATCTTCAGCACATCTTGACTTTCTAGATATAAGTCCATTAGATCATTAATTTTTCCCAACTCATCGAAGACCCACGTCCAGGAGACATAACGAAGGGAGAGGCCCTTCAGCCGCATTGGCTTGGGCATTTGGTCAGTTGATTCTTCCTGCTAATTCCCAGTGAGTCACAAATGATTAACTGTTATTTTAACAGATGATGGGCTACCCACTCTCAGAAGGCAAGCTGGACCAGGAGTCAGCCACATCTCTCCTATGGAAGTCCTATCCTGTTGTTGTAAGACTTTGGGAGAAACATGGGAACTAGCTGAGACCCAAGGAGGGGTGGAGCCACACCTTACCTCACAGAGCAATTAAATGGCAGAATGAAGACTAGGCCCGGGGGTCTCTGTCCACACCCCTCTGCCTTTCTTACCCAAGCACCCTGGGTCAGGGGTTGCACAGGGCGAAAAGCTGCCCATTAACTCAAGTCTTCCTCACTGGCTGAAGAAGCTGTGCCTTGCCACAGGGGCGGGTACAGGGAGGAAGCTGTCACTTTCATTCCTGATCCCTTTCAGAATGTCCCCGAGGGACTGACTGCAGCGGCCACTGAGGAGTATTTAGGAGGGACAGACGACCCTGTCAAAAAGAAAGACCTGTTCTTGAAAATGATGGCAGATTTGATATTTGGTGTCCCCTCTGTGAATGTGGCCCGTAGTCACAGAGGTGAGTTCAAGACATTGGACAGGGAAGGGACAGCTATCCCACAAGCTTTCCTGTCTGTCTTGCCCACCCTCAGCATGGAAAGATGTGAGGGAACAGCTGGGGGTTAGGCCTCCAAGGCTGACTCCATAAGTCCTGGGGTGGGGCACTGTCTTATTTTGATTTCTGCCTGAATCAGACTCTGAGGCAAGGATCTGAACTCAAGTAGATTATCTGGGAGATGATCCCAGAAAACGCCAGGGGAGGAGTAGAGCGGTGACATGGAGAGAAGAAGGAACCAAGCAATGCCGTATTGATGAGCAAGTGTCCGCAGTGGCCAGCAGAGCTGGGGAGCCCTGGGGAGGTAGAAGACTTGTCTCGTGACTGTCCCTTGCAAGGGGCCCGTTCCCAAGGGCCCATTAATTCCCTGGCACTTTGGCATGCTGCCCACATGGACAGAATGGTCTCCATGGTCAAAGACCTTGGACCAAGAGCTACAGATCCCAAAGGCAGCAGTCAGGCTGGCATACCCAGAAGTAGGGGTTGGGTGAGCAACAGCAGCCTCCACTATAGGGGCTCCTTACTAGAAGTTATGGTCAGAGGGCAAATCTTAGATGAGTCTTTGAAGAGTCCAAAGTCAGAGCTAGCTGCAAACTCACTTATTAACTAGTGGAGCTGAAGAAGAATGAAGCCAAAACTTTGGAGTGGAACAGGTCAGTTTTAAACCCCTCCTTTCAGCAAGCTCTGCTTGACCTTGACTCAACTGTTTAATGAGTGAATTACGAACCACAAGTTTGCTTGTTCCAAATAATACTTCCTGCTCAAAGATGTCATGATGGGGAGCAGGGGTTAGGGAGGCCATTTAACAAATGACATCCTCATGTTGGGATGGCATATGATGTTGTCATTTGTGGACAAACATTTCATTACATGAAGAAATGATGATTGGCGTTATGAAATAATATATGCATTGTTATCCCAACTTTATACACATAGGAGAGGTGTGTGCTGAAATATGATAGTGGTTTCCCTGAATGGTGGGATTATAAATGATCATATTGTTCATTTTCCTTTTTTCTGCATTTTCCAAGTTCATTGTTGTATCCAAGTGGGGAAGGTTGTAAAATTTCTCCACCAGCCTGAGTCAGCACCCAGCCCTTCGCCATGAGATCCCCCGTCTATGGGCACTGTGATCTCCGCAAAGCAACCCTCTCCCCACAGTTGGGTGGCCCAAGAGTTAGTCCCCAAGAAGCAGGAGAGGGCAGCTCCAATGGCATAATCAGCAGGAAACCTGGTATCTTCTTGGGGCTTGGAGTGGAGTTGGTGAGGGACCAGGCAGGAGAAAAGAGAGGGGCAACTTTGTCTGTCCTGGCCCTTTATCTTTCTAGCCCTTACCTTCCTGCCCCCCTGGCCAAACAGGAAGTGAGATAAGTGAAGTGGCATAGGAAACCCTGAGCTTGTGGTTTTCCTTGACGCAAGTGGCAACCTGTCACCTTTGTGCACAGGTTTGTGTTTAAATAGCTGCACCTTCAGACCAGCCACTTGGACCCCCTTCATCCTCCTTAGAATAGGTGAGAAAACACTGGAAGTGAGACAGGTCAGAAGACACCTGTTAGGCTGCAGGTGTTCTCCAAAAGGATGCAAACCAGGCAGGGATCTATGTGTTACAGCAGCGTAATCTGTACATGTATGTCTCGGTGTGGCTGTGTTGAGTAGGCAAAGGGGTTTATGATGTAAGTTGACCCCCACCCTGTAATGAAAGTTGAATGGATTCACCAAGTTTTCATTGTTCTTTTATTCAGCCAGTATTCATTCATTCATTCATTCAGCAAATACAAGGCTCAAATCCCAGCTCCATTCAACCATGGCAAATCCCAGCTCCAGCAAGTCATAGGGCTTCCCCAAGACTCTGCTTCTCTATTATGCTGGTCATCAGGGGTAGGGGCTCATGTAGGGACACACGGTATCCAGCACGTGGTTGGCACTGAGACAGGCAGTGGCTACTACTGTTACTGTTGTGTTCTCAGGCCCCCATTGTGCTGCAGTTTCCCTGGGTGCCCAGGGACCCTGGACATCTGACACCCCCCCAAGGGTGCATCTATTTAATGAATTGTGCATGAACTATATCCTCTCAGATGCCGGAGCCCCCACCTACATGTATGAGTACCAGTACAGCCCAAGCTTCTCGTCAGAGCTGAAACCCAAGGTGTCAGACCACGGGGATGAGCTCTTCTCGGTCTTCGGAGCCCCATTTTTAAAAGGTGATGACCCTTATTGAGACTGCAAGTATGGAGTGAGGAGATCTGGGTCCCCCATTTGGTGGTCTTGGGCAAGTTCTTCCTCTTTAAGTCTTAATTTCCTGAATTCACCATAATAGTTTTGGGGTTTTGTTTGTTTGTTTTTTTCAAAAAAAAAAAGATTTATTTTTATTTATTTATGCATACAAGAACTCGGGTTGCAGGCCAGAAGTGGTGGGAGAGAGTAAGAGGATTCAACAGCAACAGAGTGGGGAGCAGAACAGGCGGATCCACTGAAATACACTGCTGAGGGGAGCAGCAGGCAAGACAGGAGAGGTCTGCTACGCCATGTGGGTCAGCTCCCTGGCTGGGGATTAAACTCATGCTGCAGTGGCTGGTGATAGCTTGATAGTGCTGAGACTTTCACCCCTGCACCACCAGAGAGGCCCTGAATTCACTGTAGTAAGTTTAACAACAAAGGGTTCCAGCATTTTCCTGTTTTGACATGCACAATGGAAAATGTGTAGGCCTGCTCCCTCATCCATGGCTATGCTAGGAACCGGGTCTGGGCATCAATAAGATAAATGATGGGTAACCTGCAGGGATCTGGCACCTCTTGCCCTCCCACTCACAAGAGCGTAACAGAATGTGAGTGAGAGTCAGGTTAAAATTGGCATTGAGGTGCCTCCCCCACACCTCTTGCCTGTACCCCTGTTCTTATAAGCGTAAATAAATAAATCTTTTTTTAAAATTTGGCATTGACCTTGAATCAGGACCAACGTATCTCTATCCATCCATCTAAAATTCCTGTAAAGGCCTCCCTGGTGGCACAAGGGGTTAAGTCTCAGCACTATGAAGCTATCTGCAGCCACTGCAGCATGAGTTCGATCCCCAGCCAGGGAGCTACTCACATGGTGCAGCAGACCTTGCCTGTCTTGCCTGCTGCTCCCCTCAACAGTGTATTTCGTCAGTCTGCCTTTTCTGCTCCCTGCTCTGGCTCTGGTGAATTCTCTCTCCCTCCCACACTTCTGACTGTACCCAGTGCTTGTATAAATAAATAAATAAATCTTTTTAAAAAATCTTTTAAAATATATTTAATTATGTTATACTTTAAAGAAGATCTTTCACAAACACCTTCAGTATGTTAACTACTAGTAGTTACAGGTGACTTGTTAGCCACCTGGAGACTGTCCCTGACACCTCAGGGGCCCTGGGTATTTCCTGGCTGGGTGCTTCTGTAGGCCCTTGCAGCTCTGTGTTGTATTAGATTCTGTGAAAATGTGGGTGGGTGACGGAGAATGAGAAAAAACCCAAGAAGAGCAATCCCGAGCTGGGATAACTGACTAAGGGCCTGAAGGGGTTGGTGTGGGCGGTGGTCACAAAGGGTTGACTGCTGCCCTCACGGAGCCCAGGTCAGTGACCCTCGAGCTTCGAGTGCATGTAAATTACCCAATTGCAACTTTTGAGACAGAAGTTCTAGACTACGGACTCAGAGCCTGAATTTCTGGCCAGCTCTCCACTGCCACCTGCCCAGGAAACACACTTTGAGTAGCAAAACTATTTTTTCTTCTTCTCCACAGAAGGTGCCTCTGAAGAGGAGATCAAACTCAGCAAGATGGTCATGAAATTTTGGGCCAACTTTGCTCGGACTGGGTGAGCATGATGGCAGAGATGCAGCGGGGCTGGGGCAGGGCACAGCTGCTGGAAGGGGGTTGCTGCTAATGTGAAATGGTCAAACTTCTGGCCATGTGACCTCTGACCATGAGACCTCTGACATGAGAGTCTCCCGTTTGGAGAGGCCACCTAGGAGGTGGTGTGTTCCGCGCCTCTGGAGGTGTTGTGTTCTCCGCCTCTGGAGGTGTTGAGCCTGTTGGAGGAAATGAAGATGAAGCTGGGTGGTGGTCACTGCAAATCTCTAGGGCTTACTGGGCCACACAGTAGCTCTAGGGAATTATATTTGATTCTATTCCCAGGAACCCCAATGGGGAGGGGCTGCCACACTGGCCAGCATATGACCAGAAGGAAGGGTACCTGCAGATTGGAGCCACCACACAGGCAGCCCAGAAGCTGAAAGACAAGGAAGTGGCTTTCTGGGCTGAACTCCTGGCCCAGGAGGCCGCAGAGAAGCCGCCACACACAGAGCACATTGAGCTGTGAGCAGCAGGCCTGACTGGCCTCAACGCCCAGGAGGGCCCAGGAGGGTTTCTACGGGAGGCATTTATGGGCCAAAGAGGTGAATTCTCATGGAGACTGGGCAATTTCTGGTGGGGAAGGGCACAGGCTAGGGAGGGGAAATTCACATGTGTATGGCATGGCCTCAATTTGGGAAATAAATGTTCTTTTGGAGACCATGTCAGTGGCTGTGTCTTGGGTTGGAGATTAACCCATCCTCCTCAGGAAAAGAAAGGTGAAGAGAGAGCACAGGAGCAAGAAGGTACCGCATGAGCTGCTGAGGGGACTGTGGAGCCCTGCTGGGTCTCCCCAAGAAAATACCACACTCCTCAGTATGTATGCACCTAATGGAATCCCAGGGGTCTAGTGTGATGTCTTGGGCTTGGTCCCCACCTCCCCAGAGCAGACCCCAAGACAAGGATTTGAGTGCATTTGTTTATTTGATGGGTGGCCCGAGGGGACGCTGAGAGAGGAGTGGAGAAGAGCTACAAGGGAAAGCACTTCATGTGGACTGTGTCAAGAGCCACTTCTCAGAGGCCAGTAGGGGGTGGAATACAACAAACCTCAGGGTGCTTCTCCAGGGGAGGGAGGGAGCTGGGATAGTCTCTCTTCATGGGGGTTTCTCCTCAACACCAAGACACCCCAGGGTTTAGCCCTGAGGGAGAGCCCCAGGAGCCACAAGTGTGTACGGTGTGGGGACATGAGCAGCACAGTACCCACCGCCAAATTTAAACTAGAATGGGCATGGGGAGGACTCTTGACCACCCTCCATATGGACAAGGGGAGACCCAGATTGGGGGAAGGCTGGCTGAGTCACCCAAAGTCATTGCTGGAACTACGGGACCTTGCCCTTAAAGGCGGTTTTTCAGACCACACTGCCCAGCCACCGCCTTGGCCCCCCAGGCAGGAACGGCATGGATTCCCTTGATGACCTGTCCCTCTGCGCCTTCCTGCAGCTGCCCCCACCCTGTGCAGCTCTAGGATGGAAAATACTGAAAATAACTGGTGATACAAAAAAGCAAGAGGAATGAAAGAAACAGAAGCCTGCAGAGGCCATCAGACCCCACGAAATAAGGGGCCCTGCCTTCCTGGAACTACAGGGACTTCCGCATCACCTGTACAGCTTCTAGAAATGCTTATGCACAAGCCTGTGCTGATTCTGATTCTGTTGGCCTAGGCAGGGGCCTGAAGATCATGATTTTTCCTGACTTCCATGCTTATGGGAAGCCAAGGTTGAGAGCCACAAACCCTTTCTGAAATGTCAGACCACAGGGCCCCATACAGAGTATGGGCTAAAGGCACCCCAAATGCACCAATAAGTGAGTACGGGAGCTGTGTGCCTGGTCCCTGGAGATGCAAGACCTGTAGATCCACCCAGATGTTTCAGGGCCTGTGGGAAGAAGGCAGGAAACCAAAGCAACAGTTCTTTGACCGGGCCTTGCAGAGACTGGAATGTTATGGACAGGATGGCCACCCATGGAAGCCACTGTGTTGGGGTCAATTTGCCAGTTCTCCTGCAGCAAAGCCCCACACCAGCAGAGCCACCTTCTTGGCCGCTCAGCTCCTCTTGGCCTCTGCTCTGGCAGCCCCTGCCAATGCCCTCTGGGTCTGCTTGCTCACTGTGACCTCACATCCCACTCCATCCCCTCTGCTGAACTTGGCATGCCTGCTTGAGTTGTCTCTGTGCAAAGAAAGTCTGAATGGTCATCCCAGGCCCCTCCAGGACAGATTGTCCTGACCAGGGGCTGGATCCCTGCCCCCTAGGCCCTCTGGGCTGGGTGCCTGCCTGGACTGCTCAGCTGGGATCAGGTCCACAGAGTCCAGGCAGGGCGCTGTGGGGATGGCAGCCCCTGCCAGAGTTTGGCAATCCTGGTTTAAATCTGGCTGCCCCGCAACCTGAAGGAGCCCGCTTTTATCAGGACTCTGGCTGCTCTCTGTGTTTTTGTCCAGAGTGGAGGCCCAGGTCTCCTCAATTCTCAGATGCCTCTAAAACCTACCTGGGGTGCACTCCTAGGCTTCTGCTCTCGGCCATGCTGGCAGCACCAAATCCTCCCTTCTCTTCATCCTCCTAGCCTGGGAAATCTGTGGTTGATCACGAAGTCTGCCTGCTGGATCATCTTTCACTCTTCCAAATCTATCAACTCCCCCTGAGATTTTTCAGGGCTCAAACCTATTAGACCAGAAGCCAGGAACAGGTTCTTTGATTTTCTGTGTCCTGCTCTGACAGTAAGGACAACATAGAGTCCGGAGGTGACTCAATAGGGACATTGCAGGAAACAATGAGAGGTGGGGTGACAGTTCCTGACTGATTTCCCAAAATGGTGCCCACCCACTCTGGAACCAAAAGTCTGTCAATCAAGGGACAGGTTTCCTTTATAGGATTGAAGACCGGGTGGATGGGTGAGCACCACTTCTCCCCAGCACAACTTCTCCTTAACCCTCCAAAGCTACAAAAAAGCTCCTTTGTTTTACCAAGAACTTGGGGTCTCCTGCAATGGGAACCCTGCTCATGGCTGAAACTTATGTTGTGTCTTCATAGCTCTGTCAGCAGCAGGAAGATCCCCGATCCTGCCTGGGTCCAGTCTTCTTCCATCACTGATAGGGGAGAGTGAGCAGGGGGTGAGCCTTTCCAAAGCTCCCACCATCAAGCAAGCAGCCCCTGGGGCAGCTTGTCCCTTACCTGTAATATCTCCTCATACTTGTCTGACAAGCCTGGAGCAAGGGGGCAATTGTTTCTATGAGGCTGAGGCTCAGCGCAAGGAAGGTCCTTTCCAAGATCACACCTCTGGTGCAGAACCAGGTCTCTGCCTTCCCATTCCGGTGGCCTTGGTAATTCAGTCCTTGTGGTCTAAAGCTCATATGTGCCCATCTGCATGGTGACACCAGGAATGAAAATGCAGGTAGGCTTTCCAGTTAGATGGAGGGCTCCTTGGGGTCAAGACCAAGATCAGATCCATTTTCATGGTCCCCCTAGCAAGAGCCTAGCAGTGGCACTAGATGGACAATTAACAGCTAGCCAATACTATAATTTCAGGTCTTCAGGCCTAGTCTCCCAGCCAGGAACGGATCCCAGGCTGCAGGGGCAGCGCTGAGTCCCAGCCACTAGACCACCACGGGTTGGTGTCTCACGAAGCAGCAGCAGGAACTTCGCTGACACTCAGGTGAGCAGGTGAAAAGAGCCAGATTTGTTTAGAGAAAGAAAAAGTTTATTAAAGAGAAAAGGAACAGAAATAAAGTGGAACTCCAAGGCCCATGGATCCAGGCCAGGGAGGGGCAAGGAAGCCAAAGTGGAGCCCTGTCTCAGGGAACATATACATTCTTTCCCTGATTGTTCTAAAGCCCCACCAGTCTCTTTGTGATTGGTTAGTTCTTGGTGTTCTCATTCACTCTGCCTTAATATCTCTGTGTCCAGAATTAAGACCTTGTGTCCCAGCCCTTACCTTACCATACTTTTCTTTATCATCTTTATTCGGCAATGTCCTGTTCCCGTAATCCTGCAGTGTTTGATTAGTTCCCTTTGCAATTTGTTGCCCTTATCTCTGGAGCATCTTTAACTCTCCTGATGTTGCTGCCTGCACTGCCTCTGAAGCTGCCTAATTATCCCTGACTTGCCCTGGGACTCCAGCCAGCCAGGTGGATCTCTACAAGGTGATGGTGGACATCAGCCTTCAGCAATCTGCTCACTACCTTTGAATAGTCACAACGAAAAGTAATCGAATGTTTATTATTTGTCTTCATAATAAGGTAGTTTTCATATTAATTCAAATAACCATGTACAACACACTATCTGGTAAATATTTGTATCAATCCTATGAAGGTTAACACCATGCCCAGGGAAACGCAATCAGTATATGAAAAAAACAGAGGCCAGTTACATAATTTGCTGTGCAAAATAAAAAATGCACAGCAATTTTAAAAATTATGAAGAATTTCGAGATGTTGACACTAGAGCATTAAAACTACTGTGCAGCCTGGAGGTCTGAGAGCAGGGTTTTGTGTGAGGACACAGGTCTCACGCCCATGAAGTGGCCCTGGTGACAGAGCAGAGACAGGAACCTCTGAAGACTGGTGAGTGCTTCAGTGCAGAGCAATTCTATCCTCTACACAGGACCCTGTTTAAAAACCCTTATCTGGATTTGTCCTGATCTCACATTTCCAGACAAGGGTGACCATTGAACTAGTGATTCTCTGCTGCCCTCTTGTGGTCAATGTCCTTATAGCCGCCCCTCTGGAATGGTGGGGAACCAGGTCCCCAATTCCAGGCCAAGGTCCCTAGCAACATCCCTGGATGCACAGTAAGGACTGTACCTGAGCTGACACGTCCAGGAATTAGTATTCATATCGGTCTCTTGATTTTTGCAGCCATTCAGCGGCAGCTTAAATCAATAAAATCCAAACTGCAGTGAAATGCCTTCAGTGGCCTCCCCAGCCTCCAAGACAGAATGAATCCAGTTCCCAACACCATGCAAAAGGTGCCCTGGTGTGGGCCTCTAAGACCAGCCAGCCTCCAGCTGAGCCACAGCTGCAGACACACGAGCGAGCCCATTAAGTTCAGCTGAGCTACGTCTGGATGGGCAGACCCTTCTAGGTGGCCCACAGATTCATGAGTTAAACTGTTGCGGAACTTCAGCCCTTTACCCCAGGAGGAACCAAGTGGCACTCAGAGAACTGAGAAGATCAGGAAAGTTTATTTGACACTGGTGGACTTAGGGGAGTAATCTCCAAAAATTCCTAGGCCCCGACATGCATAGAGATCAGTCATTTCAGCATTTGTTATACTGAGAAGTGTGACAGATTTTGATGGGCAGACCATTTGGTAGAGTGCAGGGCTATTTAGACAAAGGATGGGCAAAAGGGGAGTTAGACAAGGGTCTGTGCAATGGGAGGCTGAAGGAGCCAGCAGAAGATTAGAGCTGCCAGCTTGCCCTGCCATTTGACTCCTTTCTTTTGGAATGCAGCCCTGCTCAGAAAGAGACCAGCCACAAATCCCTCAGACAAGAGGGGAGCTTGCAAATGATAAGAAGGTAAACGTGCTAATTGCACCAGGTGGGTATGTTGTCTGATTGATGCCGCCCTTCTACTGCATCTTTGTTTCATTTGCTTTTCC